GAATGATTAACTCAAATTGAATGCTTTTTAATGCTCTTAGAAATTATTTTAATGCCACCAACAGGTACCCGTCTACAGGCTGCAGCCATGTCCCAAATTCCTCGTTTTCCAGCCACATTTGTTGAAATTTGAATTTCCCCCCATTCTCTAGCTTTTTCTCTTAACTCAAGCTTCTTTTCTGAACAGACAGCTATGTGATCAACCCGAAGCAGTTCCACACAAATATATGGTAATATAATATGTTTGACGAAATTGTTTTTAGAAAAAAAAATTTTAATAAAGCATTTTTAATGCCATAATAACACATTTAATGAATTTTAATGCCAATCAAGGCCTTAATTTAAAACAATATAATTTAATGACTTTTAATGACCCGCGGAAACCCTGTGAAAATAGACACTGCCTTCAGACAACATGCTTTAATTTATAAATATTTTTTATCAGGTTGGGTCAGTATTAAACAGCAGGTGGATCCGGACCGCGGTCTGCTAATCCGTGACCTCTGGTATAGAAGATATGCATCATGTTTTTTCAAAGTCATATCTCTAGACCAGTCTTTTGTCCAGGTGAATATGGAGGTATTCATACTCCTCCATCCTTTCCACGTCTTCTCCCATGATGATGGTAATAGTGTTGGACTTGCTCCTCTTTCTCTTGAAATCTAAAATGTCCTTTGTTTCATTAAGGATCGGATAATTGTATTCAAACCCGTCCACAAAGCAGTCCATCAACTTCCTATACTGAGCTTCTTGTCTATCTCTGATGGACTCAACGTCAGCAGATTCTTCTGAGAATTTCCGCAGATGGCAGAGCTCTTGTCTTGCACTGAAAGTGCCATCCCCTGTGATGCTCCTGTGCTGCTAATTACCTGGTTGGACAGTTGACCCTTCAGTCTCACAAGTCGTGGTCTGTCAGCTTTGATCCAGGAGATTGTTTTTTCCTCCACCTGGGTCTCCCAGAGTTTCTGACAAGGCCTATTAGACTGAATTATGGTAAATACACTGGAGAAATCAAGGAACATAATCCTCACAGCGCTGTCTGCCTTTTCTAAATGACAGTGGGTTTGTTGAAGTAGGTGTATGATGGCACCTTTAACTTCGACTTGATGGTAATACAGGGGGTCCTGATAGTCTAGCAGCATGTTTGGTTGCTTAGTTGAACCAACAGAAGTCTTTTGAGGACCTTCTTCAGGTGAGATTTCAGAGCAACAAGTCTATAGTAATTGAGTACTGATTGAGTTTCCTTTGGTAGCAGAAAAAGGCAGAAATTCTTCCATATAACTGTCTCCTCAGCCAGGCTAAGGTTGAGGAGATGCTCTAGAATGCCACAGATTTTGTATTTTCTATTTTAATTTCTTGGTCAACACAAGTTCCATGGGTTAGTTAACTTCATCGCACAACTTAATTCATTGAATACGTTTTGTTAACCTCTTAACACCCACCGGGTCGTTGGCGACCCAGTGGGTGTTAACTGGGGGTAATAATTAAGAATGCATAAAATTCCACGGGAAAATTTTTTACCAGCAGGTGGAGCCATTGCGCGCAGCTCCAAGCTGACACCAAGTTCCGAATTCCACAGCTCTAGAACTGTTATAGCTAGAGGTCTGAAATTTTCTGCATTTGCGGTTGACATGATGTGGAACAAATATAGCATAATAAAACCTGCCCTTTCTCAAGAATATCTTTATTACTGCTGTTCAAAAAGACCTATCATTTCCAACTTTGAGTCATGTTTGAACTGATGCAGGTTGGTCTGTGTTCTACTCACCCAATTTTAATTTATATATTAGGAAACTAGAGGGTGTTAGCTTTCAAATAATGTATTGCACATGCAATTTGGGCTTACAGTTCCTACGTTATTTGCCTTTCCATTTGGGTATGCAAAATAGGCGAGGATTACCCAAAATGAGGTGGATGTTAAGAGGTTAAAATCTTTATACAGGATGATTACTTGGGTTGACCCTTAGATCTGCTACAAAATTAATTTCCATTTGTTTTCTTCCTCAATGTGCTTTTACAAACATCGCCATTATGGAATCAATTATTAGGAATCAATTATGTTTTGTAGTTTCTTGTTTTTTACGTGCATTGGGAAAAAAGCTGCGGTGAGGAGTTAGTGGAGATGAATCCAACTGTTCATATCTGCTCTAAATATGATTGTGACTTCTTTTTTGGGGAGGAGTGGTGAAATTAGGGGTAGACTTGTCAGATTTCAGCAGAAATGTAAGTTTATCTTTATCATTTTTTCTTTTACGTTTTCCAAATATAACATCAAGAAATATCAATGTTATTTAGAATAATTATTGCTCCAACTACATGGCTTAAGCTGGGCATACACTCTACGACTTTTTTCAATCGCACGCAGCTACAGCTCACACTGTACAGGGTTGCAGGGTTTCATCGTACAGTGTGAGTTCACATCTCATGATGTATGTTCTCACACTGTGTGGCCCGACACGGTCTACCTGCTCACACTGTATGTGTAAAAACCACGTCGTGAGATGGCGCTACTCCGACTTTATCCGGAGGCCAGACAAGTAGAAGAGGAATATGAAGCTCACTAGAGCGAAATGCGCTGCCTTGACAATTTGTGCAATTTTGTGCTTAAAGCCCTAAAAGAAAAGGCGACAACATATTTGAACAAAGACATGGCTAAGCAAGCGTGGCTACTATGGTCTGTCAATTTTACAGAAAGAACTCCATTTCAGTCGCACCTCCACCATGTTTCTGTGTTTTCGTCTGAGAGGAAGAGGAAGAAGGGTCCTTGTTTGCCTACTGAGCGATTTGCTAACGGCCGACTTAATTTCATACATGTTTGATTTTCTCCCAACCTCACGAATCCAGATCGGGAGGTGGTCGTGAGAGGCTGATCGCCCCTCGTTACCCCCTGTACACCACACGATGCACAATCAGGCTGAAAGTCGGCCCGATGGAAAAATTCTCACAGGACTGGAGAATCGGTCCGAAAACAATAAAAAATCATACAGTATAAGCCAAGTTTTAGAACCTATTCAGAACCAAACCAGTTTGCCAATCCTACCATCTGTGCTTTCTAGATCATCTAAAATATACCTACAAATTGCATCAAAAAAAAAGTTGTATGTATATATATATATATATAAATATATATATATATATATATATATATATATATATATAAATATATATATATATATATATATATATATATATATATATATATATATATATATATATATATATATATATATATATATATATATATATATATATATATATATATATATATATATATATATATATATATATATATATATATATATATATATATATATAAATATATATATATATATATATATATATATATATATATATATATATATATATATATATATATATATATATATATATATATATATATATAACTTATCGGCAATTATTTGGAATCCTTGAAGAACAGGCCTTTATAGTACTAAAAAAAAGAAATGAATGAAGTGGCAATTTGACCAAGGTTGAAAATATCCCATCACAACTTCTTTCAAACAGTAGTAGACTAACTTTCCTTTGCTTTCCAACACCAAGTCTCCATTGTGGTTGCACTTAGCTATGGCATTACTGGCTTTGTTTTATTCTCATCCTGAAGTAAAACAATAAAGAGCAGCCACTGAAACCCAGCACAACAACTTAACAAATCTAAATCGATGCCAGGAAGACCATAAAAGTGGGATGGAGGGTGGTTGGGGTGGGACCAATTAGCCCACTGTCCAATGATACATTGGCCATACTCTCCGCTGCCATGCTGACTGCAATTTATTGCCTGCTACAGGGACGCATCACAAATATGTAATGTAATCCATCTCATTGAGGGTGAGTGGAGCTGCTTTATCTCTACCAGAGAGTTATGTGAGGTCAAAGCCTTGTGCGGGGGTTAACATAAACAAGAATCAACATCAAACTAGGAGGCTGTGGCGATCAGAGACAAGACTCTAGTGTCAGAAAAAGCTTGGTTTACCAACTTAGGTTTACGGTTTGTAAAACATTACTTAATGCAGTTTTACAAAAATCTATTTAGCTGAGGCAAATAAGGATATTCTATGCCCTAAGGCGGCATCATGTGGGCTTAAAACTATTTGCATTTAATTGTTGTAAGAACTTCCTCTACCTTTATGTAAAAGTAGCCCTAAACAGCCAAAAATATCAATAAATTGCCAAATACTGTAGCTACACCCTGTTTTCTCTTAGAGTTAAAAAAAAACAACAAAACAAAGGATATCGACAGGGTGAAACTAAATTTAGCTCTGAAACTCAGCAGGCGAAATATCCCAGCAGTGCAACAAGGGGATTTTTGTGGCAGTTAGACAGGTTATGCTAAAATTTTGTAAAATGATCAGCCTTTATTTTCACCCTGCTGTCAGGGAAAATTAGTTAATGTTTTTCAAATCATCATGAACAACATGACCTCTGTAGAATAAAAGGAAGAAGGTGCCAAAAGCCTTAAATCATATATTTTAGTTTATCACAGTTCAACAGCTGTGTGAAAGAATGAAAGTAGACTGCATTCAATCTGTTTTTACTCTCAAAAAAGATTGATGATCGACCAGGAAAACATAATTGTCATACTTTAGACAAAGCACCATTTTCAGAATACTTCATCCTGGGATATAGTCAAAAGCACAAGGAGGAAAATGGAAAACACCTTAATACGAGCTTCCCAGAGAGGCTTTAAAGAGATGGACAGAAGACTGACAGCTCCAAGTACTACTAAAATACAAAAAGAGTAAAAGGTTTTTATTCAGGCTTTCTTTTACTAAAAATCCTTCTTAATCCTTATAAGACACATGGACACGCATACCTTTCATTTTTCTTTCTGCTTGAGTTGGTATTAAAATATGCCTGACACACAGCTGCAGGGTTTATTTTAAGCCTGCATTGGAAACATACAACTTTCAAATCGAGATGACAGTTCCTCTATCAGTGTGCGCCGTGGCGAAAACCCTGCAGCGTAGTGTTTGTGTGACCCACCTAGAACAGTGACGGTCGCCCGAGCCGTACGAACGGGCATGGTGAAGATGGAGCAGGTGTATTCGCCCTCGTCAGACAGCTGCACATCAGAAATTGTGATGACAAGCTCAGTGGGAGTCGAGCGAAGCAGCTGGATGCGGTTATCTCTCAGGGCTGAAAACAAAGAGGAACAAGACATCAATAATTAGAAATGTGCTTTATGAATTTTTAAGGAATATCTAAGAGCTGTTATGTAAGCATATCATTTTTGGCTTCTTTAACATTACTTCAATCCGTAGATCTGTAGCTGTTTTTGATGGCAAAAATGTGAGACACATTGCTTTTTTATTTGTCTAGAGCAGCAGTTTTCATTACACAGGTTAAGAAGAGTTCAAAGGAAACCAAAACAGTTAAGACTGAACAACCTTTTAAGAAGAAACATGATGTGAACCAGAACAGTGAGCCTTGTAGCTCTTTTAAACACCCGAGAGAGTTTGCTGACCTGACTCCCCCTGGACTGACTATTCCACAGCTTTGGACTGAAATCAGCAAATACACAAAGTCCCTCTGTTTCTCAGTTTAGTCAGACAGGACCATGTCGAAGAACTTGTTTAGACTTTATTTTTTAGATTTTTAATTAGTTCTTTATAAGTTATTGTTGCATATCCATTCATACCTGTATTTCATTGCACAATCCCATTTTTAAAAAGAATCCAGCGTTAAAATCAGAGCTAAAAGGATGTTTAATTCCAATAATCTCTTTGCATCTTATTTTTTGCTGCAGGTCTTCTGCTTGCTTGATATTAGTTTGAAAGTTTAGACCCTTTCATACTGTAACATATGCAATTTAAACTGTGCTCGCACAAGTTTGTCCTAATTCATTTTTTTTTTACCTCCCTGCAACACATTTCTTGCATATATATCACTGTCGCTGAATTTACACAAGTGCCATTTGCAAGATATACTCAGTCCATGTTTCTGAATATTTTAATCAGTGATTAGCTCGGAAACATAAAATGTTGATTAATTAACTAATACTTATTAGCCAAACTGGTTCACTGAACTTTCTCAACTATTGTGTGTAAATGGAATGGGAATACGCTAATCTTTTATATATCATAGTGACTTGGAAACTGCATAGATGCTGCATGAAATCAGGCCTGAACTGCAAAGATTTAAAATACGAGGGGACTAAACTGCACAATCGCATTTATTTCTTTTAATTATGCTCATTAACTGGTCGTGTTGCAGGTGATCTAGAAAAACTGCTAAGCAAATTTTAACACATGCAAACCAGTTTGGTTCCACCCATTAACATCAGCAGATTTTGTGAACTACGGGCAGCATTTCAGATGCTCCATAAACATTATTTTACATTTTCATTTTTTTATTATTATTTTTGTCCTTATAACCTCCCTCTCAATGATTTTAAACACTCAGAATTTGCCATTAATACTGAATTTCTTTAGCTTTTTTTTTTTTTTACATTAAAATTAAACACTTTTATTTTGGTGGGAGTTGAAAACAATGCTGTATAGTTCAATTTTTTTTTTCTAAAGACATTCAAATGAACAAAGAAAATATTAATATATATGGTAAACGTATGAAAAAATACTTTGCAATAAATCAAAAACTATGTTTTTGATAACACTCAAGGTATGGGTAAAAGAGAACAGAGAGAAGAAAACAGTGAAGGGTTCTGAAATGATAAAAGGTTGAAAAAAAAGGAAAAATACATATGGAAACATGAGGTTTAAAAGAGTGAAAAACTGGAACTGGCGGAAGGATGAGGAGGAAAAAAGAACTCACCTAAGGTAAGAAAGATGATGTAAAACCAGAGGATAAAAACTAGTAACAGGAAGGAAGGATTAAGGATATATGAAATGGTAATAAGGATGAGATTTGAAGGGAGGTGGTAAAAAAAAAAAAAGGCACGGAAGGCGTAAAATTCAGGAGGAGGAAAGATACAAGCTGGAGGAAGGAAGGAAACAAGCAAGCCTGGTATCCAGCGATGATGATAACTGCTAAAAGGAAAGAATGCAAAAGGATGCACAAAATTTGGATCCTAAGTGAATGACATAATGGAGGAAAAAAAGAGTAGAAACAGAGTGGCTGAGGTGTTTAGAGCATTAAAATGATGTAAGAGTGGAGGATGAGTGATCTAGATGAGGTAAGAGCAGCAAAAAATAGCACAGATGTATGCTCCTGCAAAGCATGGGAAGACAAAAAGACTGAGAAAAGATGCAAATTGAGAATGAGAGACAAGGGAAAGTGTGTGAGAGCAAACAGAGAGAAAAAAATCCAGAGGAAACATAAATAGCAAGGAGGATAAGGAAAAAAACCACCAGGGATGGGTGGTGGCGGCGTAGGGAACAAATGAAAGACATAAATGGCTTTGTCATCAATAACATCCTGCCATGAAAGAGAAAAAGAACATAAGCTACAGAGATAGATGATGATGAAATGCTACGAAATAACATCTCGTTTCCGTGATAGCGTTGACCTCTGCTGTATTTGGTTTGTGTGAATGCTGCCTGTCTTCTTATCCGCTCACCCTGTCTGCCTCTATCTACAGAAGATGTCTTCTGCTCTGACCTGCTGCCTCTGTGAAGCTACAGTTCATACATCTACACAGTCCTACTTAAAACATTCTCAAAATAATGCCTGGCTGAGCGGAAGCCCGGCTGCAAGAGAGCAGGCTGTGTTCAGACAGAAAGTAATGTCATAAATATTGCACCCCATTTAAAGTTATCATGCAATAACTTTTATAGCATCAACAAAGATTTGCACTTAACAGACTAAATGTGTCAGTTGGCTTTATTCAATATTTCATGGATAAAATAAAGATGGTATCTTGGGGCTTTGTGATATTTTCTTTTTATTTGTGGAGGGAAAAAAGCCCATTGTCCATACAAAAGTTAGCTGAACGGACTTTCCTCCTTCTCAACATGAAACACCTAAAGTCAGTGAATCATTAAAAGGAGTATTAGACTCTCAAGAAAACACCTTTAAGAAGGGAAAGGAGTCTAACACTGATTATTTTTGACAGAGGATGACAGGACATGTGGGAATTTACAGAAATAATATATTTTTAAACTGTTAATTAAAAAAAACAAATAACAGTTTATCTTTATCTCAAATTGGAGAACTTTACCTCTGCATTTAACCCATCCCCTTGGGGAGCAGTGGGCTGCCATTGTATGGCACCCGGGGAGCAGTGTGGGGTTAAGGGTCTTGCTCAGAGAGCCAGAGCGGTAGTCTGTGGGGCTCGAACTCAGATCCTCAGGATTCCAAGCTATATGCCGTAACCACTAGGCCGCAACTCCCCACTAAATTTATCTCTGCATTTGACCCATCCGCTTTGGGAGCAGTGGGCTGCCATTGTATGGCACCCGGGGAGCAGTGTGGGGTTAAGGGTTTTGCTCAGGAACCCAGAGTGGAGGCTGTCGTGATTGAACTGGGTACTTGCAACCTTTTTAAAGGACAAGTGCACTGCTCTAACCAGTAGGCTTATACTCCCGAATTTAACATCTTTTATGTTGTGATCAACTCCCATCAAGACTCTTAGATAAATTGTTATGCCCCCATCCATTTTCCCCTCACGCTTAGCCCTGCTGGGGTCAAAGGGATGCTGTCTACGGCAGGGTACACCCTGGACAGGTTGCAAGTTAATCGCAGGGCAACACAGAGACAAACAGGACAAACAACCATTCAATCACACCTAAGGAGAATTTAGAGAAGCCAATTAACCTAACAGTCATGTTTTTGGACTGTGGGAGGAAGCCGGAGTACACGGAGAGAACCCATGCATGCTCAGGGAGAACATGCAAACTCCACTGCAGAAAGGACATCGAACCTGGAACCTTCTTGTGGAAGGCAGTGGTGCTACCCACTGCACCCCTGAGCAGCCCATAGATTGTTATTGGCTTTATGAAAAAAAAAATCTATAGAACTAACTTTAATTGGGTCTACTATTGATTTCTTAATGTAAAAATTTCTTATTGTTTTTATCCACATCATTTAACTAATTATCCTGGTCTCCTCTACCTGCATGATTCACCGACATCATAACCCCCCTGGGTTTCTGTTGTTATTAGTTTTTATGTGCCACCTTAAGATCAACAGTGGTCTCCCTCTTGCCTTCGCTTTGTTAACTTCTTTCCACAACTTTTTGTTTCCCTGTGGTATCAATTTAGCGAGACAACATGTCCTTCAACTGCTGGTCAGTAAGATGGATGAGGATCCAACTTTCTTTTACCAATAGTTCAGTGAAATCTGAGAGAAACTAAAATAAACATCTCTAAAACTCATTCTTAGAAAACTTAAATGAAAAGTAATGACTTTAGGTCATCTAGTTTCCATAGCAACCTTAACACACCATCTACATGCCCACTGATCATTAGGAAGGCAGGATTAGAAAAATGTACAATAATAAATATGAATGTATGGAGTTTGCTGGATGTTACAGGAACTTTTAATTGAATAATAACATTCAATCAAAAAGACTATTTTGAGGGTTTGGGATGGAAACATACTAGGTGAGAATCTTTGAAAAAGCACCTTGTGTCCCTGTTAAAAATGAAGGATCTGTGATGACGCCATTCCTCACCTGAAGGGTCTGGCAGTCTGGTTTTGACAGCATCACAAGTTAACAGAAGATTTGGTTTGTCTATGAGTTTTTCAACAGGATAATTATTCAACACATTAAAAACAGAAATAGCTGTTATAAAATTAGTCTCCTGTAATCAACCTCGTTCTCAGAGAACAGCCATAAATTGAGTTTAAGAGAAGAAAAGAAAAGAAAAAGCAGCTGCTGTTGAGTGAGACAAGGAAAGTAAATAGAAAAACAATGGGCTGATTTTTTTTTAACTTCTTCTTTGTTTAATATCCAATAAGAAAAAGGTTCCCTTTATCATCTTAAGTTTTCGCAGATGTCTAACAATCTACTGGAACAAAGTTAACATTTAACAGATGTCTAAAACCTAATTAATACACTGAGCAGGTATATACATTAACAACAATAAATTATTCTCCTCTAGACTGAAGTGTTAAATGTTAAATGAAGCTATGTGCCAGAGGATGACTAATACAGATACATGCTCAAGATAATTGTTTTGTTGTTTTCCAAGCTTAATGTTTTAATGACGTTGCTGTAAACAGCTTTATATAGACTA